CTTTCACCATGAGTTCATATAAACTATCCTTCTCTTCATTTAGGTCTCAGCTCAAAGTTCACCTCTTTAGAAAGGACCACTTGAAATACCAAAACTAAAGCAGCAACCCTCTTACTCAATGTTCTATCTCGTTTCTTATTTTACTTTCTTCATAGCAGTTATCAATTATTGAAATATCAAATTTTGCAGGTTTTTCTTATCCATGTCCTTCCACAATATTAAAATAAAGCACCAGAAGAGTCTTTGTCTCTCCCGAGCCTATCACAGTGCTGGAAACATAGTATTTGCTCAATATATATCATTTCAACAAAATCATTCCATCTTTTAACTAATTATCAAAGTCTTATTAGGTTCTAGGGATAGTATATTGGAAAAATCAGTCAAATCTCCAACTGGAGAAACCAACATCCCATTAGTAAGTCTGGGATAATAGCAGGTGTGAGTGTTGGAGTACAGGGCAGGGAGGGTTGGTAGACCTTGCCCATCCTTCCAAATGTAACACTAGAAGAGAAAAACAGTTGGCTGTAGTATAAGATGAAAAAACTCAGCCTTTCTTGCCTTTTATTTGCTCTAACCACAAGATTATATCAGCCATGGAAACTGAATAAGTTTCTCTCTGTCCAAAGAGAATGTGTGCCAGTTTAATTGAATTTAATATTAAAAAAACATTTTTTTTAAATTCTCTTCCTCCCACTCAGATGTTTGGGCTATTGATGTCCTCTGACTTCAGATGCTGACAACATGTTCAAGTTTGAGGAAACCTTGAGAAACAAAAGGAACTGATAAAAACGTCTGTATTCAATTCCAAAGCCACTGCCTCCCTTCTTGTGATCTTGAACAAAACATCTATTCATTCACTCAACAGGCATTATGAAAGACCGTAACATTTTTGAACCCCCAAGGGAAGCAGATGTATAGTTACGTTAGCATGTTTCCTGATGATCTGATCAGGTCAACGACTTGCTTGTGGGTAAAGCCTTCTGTGCCCACTCCATTGATATTTGCAAGGACATCACCTGGGAGATGGCAAGAAGAAATGAGTGTTAAAACAGTCGGTTAAATAATCCGTCCTGACATGCAAATGAAGAGAAACAAACAAGCCTCAAACCTTAACAACATAAAGGCAATATGAAAATTCGAAGCAACAATCACATCCTGACCTTCACTATCAAAAAGTTTTCTTGCTATTTAAATAATTCCTAACATGAGCAAAGTTATAAGGTACCAGCTTGAAGGCCAGCAGACTGTGCTGGGCTGTCCTCCTGGATTTTGCAGATCAGAGTGCACAGTTCTGAGGAGCAGGTGTTCTGGTTTTGGAGTCTGTAAGTCTGTAAAAATTAAAGTAATATACAATTACTATTAAAAAACTCAAATGTATTTGTCAAAAATAAAATTATGTCAGTTATCTTAAGCTATATGATAGGTAAATGCAAAAAACAATTTGGAAAGGCTTTCTTGACTATAAACTGAATCAAAAGTACCAATTTTGCAATCCTACCAAAAAATCTGCAGCAATCTTATTCATAAAAAAAAAAAAAAAATCTGGCTTGAGAAGGAAAAAGTGAGATGAGGCTAGTTAAATATTTTATATTTTCAAGCCTAAGAGACCAACCACCTGATACCCATCATTATCGCATATTTATTAAGAAAAATTAAGTTTCTCATTTCCTAATGGAATAAAACAATAGTGGCCAAAAGCAAAAGATCTCTATGAGGTTCTTCCTTCTTAAAGTACTCATTACAGGAGAGTATAAAACAGTACACATCCAACAATGGAGATATGCCAACAATAATTATTTTAAATCAAGGTTCTACAAATAATGACAATCTGCCCTGCATTAATTCAGAAGTACCATAATTGACTCAATTACTTTCATTTCTGAACGCTTGCTGGTACGCCTGCCATGAATACTTACTGGTTCATTAATCACCCAACTAAATTAGAAGAAGTTATGCTTTCCCTCTTGCCTCAACTTGGCAAAAGAAGTTTGTTTTTGTTTTTGTTTTTACCAAGATCACTGGGTAAATGTTTGCTAGATACAGTGGCCCAATGACCTATATCAAACATATTTTTCTTTTTCATACATTTAAATTATGAGGTCTAGTTCCATTTAGACTCAATAATCAGAATTCTGATTTGAGTAAGTGTTTTAAACATCTGATTCCTGAAATTAAACCACATTCTGGTACTGCTTCCTTGTGGGGCAATTAATGTCTGATGATCATTCCTTTTAATTTTACATACTTGCAGGCTCCAGAACCAGAAGTTGGTCATGTGCAAGCCACTTCTAGAAACTAGATTTTGTTAACTTGTAAGGGATTTCTATTCACTCTAGAAGGCATTTAGAATCCCCATATCATAAAGGTAAAAGGGACTTTTAAAGATGATGTCATATATTCCCCATCTGTGTCAGACACCCTTTAACAACTTTTCTGTCAATCTTCTTGACACAGCCCAGAACTTTCCTGAAATGGAAGAGTGTTCTAGTTCATGTGGTACATGAACCAAAGCTGTAACACACACTCCTCTGGGAAACCACTTTTTTAACAACTCTCATTAGCATTGAAAAGCTACCCTCTATGTCCAGTGATCAAGGTCAGTACAGTGAAGGGAAACGTTGATTTACGCAGCCAGCACCTGCATATATGTTTGCAACAGGTGTAAAATTTGTGGGTTACAAATAGAGAAGAAAAAGGAGAGGCCCCAAAGTTATGGAAAGAAATAATTAGTTGAATCTCTCCCTCTCTCTCTCTCCTCCTGCTCCCCACCCACCATCATCTTCCAGGTCCCATTTTTAATAACAGAACAATCCTTAGGAACACAAAAATCACATTGCCCTATCTCATGCCCAATGATCTTCATGTTAATATCTGTCACTTGCTGATCTTCTACTGGTACCAGGTGCATTACTAAGTATTTTATATGTGTTATTTCATTTGAAACTCCTAAAAACCCCATAAGACAGCACTGAAAGAATATGAACTCAGGTTCTATGTTTCTATCACTCTGAATGATTCTCATAAGTAGCATAAAAGTATCACCCATGGAAATCAGAGAGAAGAATGGACTTGTTCTCTTCAAACATGCCCTTCACCTGGTAGACAAGGAGCCAAATACTTGTTAACAAAGGGTGCACAGTGTGGGTGAATAAGATTCTATCTGGTCCTGAAAAAGTTCCCACAGCGTTTCCCTTATTTGATGACTACTCCAAATGTTATGAGTACTACAGAATAGATTATGGCATGGAGCTGGTAATGGAAAGCATACACCAAAAGGGAATGTATGGAGGAGTGGGTTCCTGCATTACTAAGATAACACATGATGCTCTAGTTCAGAGGTGAAGCCATTAGCTCATGCTGACCTACAAAGGTTCATGGTACTGTAGCCTGTTGTCTACTAATGATAGCTTTGACTCCTGCTCCACGTAGAATAAGTGCTTATGGCATGGGGGAGAAACATGGGGAAGCAGTGACATATGCCATAGAAGAGTGAGAAAAAAAATCCTAAATTGTCACTTTAAATAAGGATACATAACTGGTCACTGATCCTGTTTTCACTAGTAATGGTTGTACATCCTTGTGACTAATTTTCATTTAAAAAGAAGCAGTCGCGAGAAGTACAGAATCTATACAACAGAATAGGGAGTGTTTCATGTGAATGGAGAATAAGAAAGAGTATTATGCTTCTAAAACCTAATGGAAGAATTATAGATTTCATCAAATTTAAAAGTAGAAGAGTTCAAAGAGAAGATTTCTTTTCTCCTACAGCATTCTCCCTATTCATTGCAGGTAGAGTATCATTTTGTTTCTTTATTCATAAAGCATGTTTTCTCAGCAGCTTCCTGTTCCTTATCTTAAAATACATGCTGAATTTTCAATTGTGGGGCTGATATTTAGTCACTAAGGTTTTCTGAAAAAAGCACTAAAGCTAAGCCCTAAAAGCTGATTTGCAATGTAAGAAAACGATTATGCAAAATGCATCTAAAAGCAAAATTATAGTTTAAAAAACAGTTAATTACCTGAGCTACTACTGTTGAACTTAAACTAGACCTCCTTTACCTAACTCACCATCTATACAAATACGGCCATTAGAAAGCAGACAGAAAATAAGAAATGAAGTTCTTAGGCTATTAGAACTCTATAAAGATTGTTAAAAATTTTCCTAGAGCACATACGTTCTTAACTGTTTCAAATAATAGTTATAATGTGCTGTCATTAATTTGAAATTACAAATTTCTCCTTTTTATCTAATATGAGGTCTTTAGTATTTTCAAAATGTAACAGGAACTATAAATGAATATATGTAGTCCATATATACAAATATATATGCTTTCTTGAATACCAAAGTATAGATTTAAAATCTGACATACAGTATAAAAATGACCATGCAAACACATCAGAAATGCAAATATATAAAATGCACATCTATAAAAAAGATTATTTCGCTCTCTTTTTTAAGACCTGGCTGATATCAAGCATTGCTGATCAGTCTCAGACTGAAGCAATTAAGAAAAAGGAGTTAGCAGGTCTCAGGGAGTTAATTTTATATGTTTCAATGTTTTCTTTCCTTGATGGTACCCAACACACAGAAGGACTACCAACTCAACCACACATTGAAAAGAAGTAACAGTCTCCATTGTTCTCTGATCCTGCCTTCATTCTTTCTCTGTAAATATCATGCCACCACCAGTGCCACTTTCTTTATTAAAAGTCTGGAAAATTTGAAAACTGCCCACCTGAATTTCAAATCCAAATGTTCCATTATCCTGCTTTTCCACAGTTACAAGCTTTCTGTAATATAAACAAACCAACAAACAAACAAATAAATAAAGTAAAAACTATGCATGAAGATCAAAGTATATTTGTCACACACTTCTTAAAATAACTATCAAATAAAAATAGCTGACGTTTATGTAAATTGTATTATAACTGTGTGTGTGTGTGTGTGTGTGTGTGAGAGAGTATACATCTTCCCCACAGGAATTTTAAGGCGATTAGAGAGACAGACAATAGACAATCATGATAAATACATGATTACAAATTGTGGTAGTGATCTGAATAAGTATAGAGTGAAATGAGAGAACACAAAACTATGAACTAATTTAGATTTATGTCTTTGGAAAGACCTCTCTAGAAAATTCTATTTAAATTGAGATTCCTCAGGTCAAGTAATAGTTCAATAATGAAGACTGGATCAGAGATATGGGCCCAGACTAGGGAGAAATCCAAGTATTTTAATTTCACAAGATTTAGAAAAATATGACAAATGAAAATCACATATATTTTATGTGAAGACACTAAGGAAAACACTAGAGGAAGACACTAAGGAAGGGATTTTTCGAAAGACAGAAATGTAAGTGTAATAATGTATGCCTGGGTAAGTACACCCGAAAGAGAGAGAGAGACGGAGACAGGGAGGGAGGGAGGGAGAGAGAGAGAGAGACAGAGATAACAGTCTGGAGAGCTGTGTTCCTAAATATCTTGGTGAGAGACCAAAAAATAAATAAATCTCTTTACCTTTGAGACCAGGAAAAGTCACCTAAAGAACTTGATCTCGTCAAAGCAAGCTGAAAAATACAACAAGCACACAGTTATCAAAAGGTCCTTAAAACACATCTGTAAAATGTTCTAAATCACAAAGGACTATTTTTTATCACCTCCTTTGGCCCAACTCCTGGGAAATTGTTACGTAAAGGCAGTAATTTCCTTTCTCTAGTGATAGCAAAGGAGAGCTGGCAAAGGGTGCATTCAGGCATTCTGTTTAAAAGATTAAAAGAAGCTCTGATAATAATACACTATGGCAAAAGAGTTAATAAGATGTGGCAAAACTCCAAAGCTTCCCAAAAGAACTTCATATCTAATCTGTATTTAAAATAGCCTCTGAGAGATTAACCACAGCAATTTATAACCACACTGAAAGCCAAAGAAAAATAACACCCATAAAATGGCATATAAAAACCAAATAGTTGATAGTTTAGGAAGATGCTGATGAAATGACTGTGTTTATTATAATAGTACAGTATGTTACTATTTTTAGGAGGTTAAAATAATCTCTAAAGAACCAACACACATGTAGAAATACAATTTAGGTAAAACCAAAGACTCAAAACCTCAATTTTGTTTGTGATGTATTTTTGTAATAGTTTTAGAAGAGTGAAGTGAGATTTCCAACCAAGAAAGGCAAGGAACCTCAGAATGGTATAAATAGTATAAATAATATCACTTTTACTCCTTTCCATGTTTTAGAAAGAGATTATATAAACGTAAACTTCCAATATACATTCTATCACTGTAAATTGAGGTAAAGTAAACCAAAGGTGGCACCTTGTTTTTTAGATGACTGCAGTGTGTTTTTTTGTGTGTGTTCTGTGTTGTTTATTTGTTTAGGAATTAGTCAATGTTAATTAGCCTTTCCTCGAGTGTTGGTCCAGGGGCCCAAAATATAAGCTTATGCTACTAGCTATCCCATGATGGTTAACTGTCAACCTAATATGCTTGTCATATATCAGTGAATATATAACATGTCAGGAGATCAATGAATAGGCAGTCCAAACCAATAAAAATAAAATAAATAGAGAATGAGAACCAGAAGGAGAAAAACACATCGAAGAAATTACTGGACAAAAGACATCCCCATCAAGGTATTTGTTAAGAGAAAAGCCTATATCACTGTAAAGGACTCTAATTAACAAGTACCAAATACCAACATTCTGACAAATTTTCAGGAATGACTCAATGTTCAGAATTTGGCTCTTGGTCAGGAAAGTTAATATAGTGGAGAGCTGATCTCTTCTCACCAAGCTGATGTAAATTAATTACATTTTCCTGTCTTGTCAGTTCTGGATCTCAAATGATTTATATCATCCTGAAGGCTCAGATTCAAAAAGATTCTCTAGAGTTACTAAAAAGTATTTATTTTCAACTTATCAGAACTGACTGTGGAAAATCTACAACAATGTGGATGGTTCATTTCAGCTGATTTCGTCCTAAGTATCATTAACGATGAGGACCATTCAACTATGTAGTGGGCTGCCTTCTGGTGGAAGAGAGCAATAAACTTGATATTCCCAAATGTTCTCATTCTTTCCTTTATATTGTACTCACATTTTCTTAATCTAGTTTTATTATTTGCATCTGCTTGTCTTTTATCCTTATTTTGAATTGTTAGGTACTTAGGTGGGTCATATCTACATATGTTATCTATAATCATAATGAGGATTTATATTTAAAAATATTATGCTTGCTATCAATATTCATCGGATTATTCATATAGTCATGTATGTGGAGGCATAGATGTATATTTATATAAAGGGCATACTGGATCGATTACCTCACCTCTGTACATAATTATCTGTGTTATTGGGGCCTCTTGGAGGATGTATTTGTTTTACTTTCTACCCCAGTACCTAACACAGGGCCTAGAATTGAACGGAAACTTAAAAATAGCTAAATAGGCAAATGGAATTAAACTATTAGATTAGAAAACAAGCAAGTAAATGGTAGTGGGAGATCCAAAGTAAAATACTCATTTAGAAGGTATGCATTAAGATATTTTTCTACTTTATCCTTCACTAAATTACATATTCATAGTAAAAACTTGAGTAATCATTAAGAAAATAAAAAATAAAATTTAGAAATCCAAAACATGTAGCAAGATTAAAAATAAAAGAAAGCCAATAAGAATAAAAAAAAATTCAATCCAGAAACATCAAGAACCATAGAAAAAGGATCAATAGAAAACAAAGCAAGGTAGTAATAGCTTAATACATATCACTGCTAAATGAGAGAATGGTAGCAAGAATTAATGAATTATTAAATTCCAAGCCTTGCTTCAGCAATTTAAAATGCCCTTTTGCTAGGCAAATAATCATAGCTTTGTGGGAACCTCAAAATTTCATTTGGTCTATCCTCAACCTGCCTTCCAAATAAAAAATCTTTCTAGGTAGATCAAATCTAAAATCTTTGAAATCCATAAAGTCAAGACCTCTATAGAGAAGGAAATTTCCCCCGCCTCTTTCCTGTTAACCTTTCTTATCTAGCTAATTGACTAGTTCAAAATGAAAATATTTGACTAGCACAACACGAGATGCATAGTATATGCTTAATTCCTGTGGACTGATATGGGTTATCAGTCACACACACACAAAAAATCAGACTAAGTCAAATTATAAATTAGTTTCCACTCTGGATTAGCAATGAGCCTGTCTTAGGCTCCTAACATTTAAATAAAAAACAATTTAAATAAATTAGGCACCATCATATTCTCTGACACGTGCCACATCTTGACACAAAGCCTACTTCTTTTTGATCCAGGCTGTCAGACTCAGGCAACGTGGAAAGGAATGTTCTTTCAGGGTTCAGCCTTGCTCGCACACCAAACTTTTTGCCTAAGTAAAAAGAAGGATGTCTAAGGTCTTCTCAAAGGTCTTAACATTTTGGGAAAAGTTTTCCCTGTAGCCCTTTCCCTAAAGCCAGCAGCCCTCTTATAGGATCTAACCAACGGGGTCTCTGCTCCCAGACTGCCCACTTGAACCTTTTTCTTAGGGATGTAGTGACAACACCAAAACTCATGAATGAGGAACTTGTGTGCAATGAACAGCATATGCTGACAACAGCTGTCTTTTATTACACATTATCTAATATGAGAAATCTAGGTTTAGCAATTTGGCAGGCCTGCAAACTACACATTCAATTATAACTGCTGAGTACAGAAAGCTCCTTTAACCCATTGCTAACCGCTAACATAAAGATTACGATTGAGTTTATGATCGCTCTTTTGTTTTTAGTCAGATGACTTAATAATCAGGCATTAATATTCAAAGTGTAATTTTTCCTGCTATCTGGTGATTTACGGTGTCCCTTTTACTGGGAAACCAAGATCATACACTTCAGCTGTCAGTTTGCAAAAGATAATGATAATCTGAAGCTCAGCCAGATAGTCTGCCTGGCTCAAAGGAGCTCAAAGGTCAATACTGTAGCCACTTCTGCTGTTAAGTCACAGATGGTTGCTTCCTGGTCCCCACTCTGCACTCATTTCCTAAAAACATTGGAGAGGAGAGGGAGAGGTTCTTATCCATGGGTGAGTTGTTTTGTTTGTTTTTGTTTGTTTCCAAAGTCCCCAAATCATGTGCTCTGCTCCCTTCCCAGTCTCCTGTCTCATTCTCCCCAGTTCTTCCATGAGTACAGCTTTTTTTCCCCTTTTATGTCATGGTTCTCAGGATAGCAGGGCTGCACAGATGATTCTAAGACACAGCAAAATAAAGGAGCTGAACTCAATTGCTTACCTTGTAAGTGCCCTTAAGGAACCCAGAGGTTTGCAGCTCCCAGGAAAAAGTCACTGTGGGCTCATGAACCTCTTTTTCAAGAAAAATTGTTGTAGATTGACTTCCAGTATACCACAGTATGGATTAGAGTACACTCCTCAGATTCTTTTGTGGTGAAATTAATATAGTTTTCTACCTAGCAGTATTTATTAAATCAGCAAAATACCTCATTGTAGGAGCACTTAAGAGTTTTGGTAACAGATGGGTGTGCAGCCAGAAATAACGTGAAAGCGCCTGAAGAACGGAATCCATCCCAGAAATACACACATTACAGAGCTGAACACAATGTTTTGTATCTGAACTTTTAAGTAAAAATACCCTTCCAGAAATTGTCTATTTAGTAATACACTTGACCGTTGAACAACATGGGTTTGAACTGTACAGGTCCAGTTATATGCAGATTTTTTTCAATAAATACTGTAAACATATTTTCTCTTCCTTTAGATTTTCTTAATAGTATTTTCTTTCCTCTAGTTTACTTCATTGTAAGAATACAGTATATAATACATACAACATACAACAAAATGTGTTCATCGACTGTTTATGTCATCAGTAAGACTACAGATCAACCGCAGGCTATTTGACTCCTTCTGGAAAAGCCAAAATTTATCCATGGATTTTTGACTGTGCAGTGGTCAGCGCCTCTAACTCTCACGTTGCTTAAGAGTCAATGATAATTCTATAACCAAAAGAAAATCAGGCAAAGAGATTGAGTTTGCTGTACCACTAAGGCACATTCAAGCTCTCCTGGTCAGGTCCTGGTCTCACTACAGCATTCGGTGAAAACTGTTTTCCAAGAGCAACCTACAGATCTCCGAAGAGTAGGTGGTAAGGTACAGCCATTATTCCTATGGCATTACAATTCTAAAAACTATTTTTATTTCCCCCAGTCTCCTTTCTACAGTGTTTTCCATTCCAGGTGTTTTTTGTTTTGTTTTGTTTTGTTTTTTCCGAAAACTACATTCAGAAATAGGAGCTGCACTGTGATGTCTGTCACTTTCTACAAATACAGGTATTAAGATAACATCCTTACACAGAAATCTGTTTTTAAACGATTCTGAGTGTAAACACCCAAATGATTCTGAAGATTAAGCTGAAACTACAGGCCAACCAGATACAGCTTTGCAGAAACCAAAGCCAACGAAAATGAGAAGTATGAATTGTTGACATCAGCCCTGAAAGGGTTGAAAATAACAGTAGGCAGAGAAACACCTGCTCATGTGATTGCCTCACAGATATCGTAT